GACAGGATTTTCAATGTTAATGTCACTGTGACCTTGAACTTGGAGCCAGCCATGCGGAACATGCGTTCTGCACGTCATCTTGATGTGGTAAACATTTGTCTGAAGTTTCATCAAAATTCTTCAAAGGGTTGAAGAGTTACAGAGCGGACACAATTTCGTTTGACGCCCGCCCGCCCATCCGCCCATCCGCCCGCCATACCCCAATCTAATAACCAGGATTTTCAAAATTGAAAACCTGGTTAATAAACAAATTTAAGTTTATCCTGGGTAACTTCAAAATGTAACTACGGAAGCGTGTTTGGGTAAACAATGCACGAAAAATCTAGAATAAATTGTTATTAATTTTAGAATCATAAATGCATGATATTTATTAACAGATCATTAGTTTTTAGTATAAAAATGTCATTGTGTATGATAGCTACTATGTTTTCATTTTAATAACATTTGGAAGATAAGAATTGAAAGGTAATACTGAGTGTGATACAGTATATTATCTTTTTTACATACTAGTGATATATGAGCTGTCAGGGGAGTCAAAAACAGATACATAATTTACAATGAGTATGAAATTTCAAAATTGTGATTCCAAAAAGGGAGAAAACTTATTTTACAGTCACAGTAAGCAGTTCAAATTGTTGTTGAGCTCCATGGTTTAACCAGAGACATAGATAACATGTTATCTGTGTCTCTGGTTTAACTAAATTGTGCTACAAATATTGATGAGGAGCTATATTTGGAGTTAACTGTTGCTTTGCCAGTGGTAATAGATCCCCATTTTCAGTGTTAAATTCGTTGTACAATTTTACAAACACATGAGATAAGATAGTTTCAATTCAAACGTAATGAATCAGAGATGTTTGTGCTAATATAGATATCTGTATGTCCATCTACACCGTCTGTCTTTCTGTTTAAAAACATGTCTATCTGCCTTTCTGTCCGTGTGGCTCTCTGTTTTTTGTCTTTACCAAAAAATAAAATTTGATAGTTGTAAAACTTGATTCTGAGATACTGTTAACATCTGCCTATCTTTAATAGGGTTTGTTTTCCATTCCTTATGCTTTTCGTCCTATATTTATGAAAACTACAGTATATGGTCTGTGAATCATATTGAAAGTATTGGCCTAAACGAATGGATAACTCATTTATATGAAGACAGTGATTGATAAATAGTTCGGGTGCTTTTTTTGATAAGCCAAAAATGATAGCCCTGTCATACCTACAACCATGTGACCACAGGGGAAATGCCTCCTTTTATTTAATTCTGTTTCTCTCGTCAATAACAGTTACAGATGTAATTTAAATATCTGGTAAAAAAGTGATCCCTCAGATGCATTAAAAAGCAAATTTACATGAAAATTGCAGAGCCGGTTTGATTGAGTCTGTATATGACGGATAATGAAAAAGTGCAACATCCCTCATGCCCCCTAGCACCGGATTGAGCGGTACTAAATTCTCAACACTTTAAAGTGCTGGATTCAATGATCCCGAAAGACCAGAAAAATATAACAATACTGAAGTGAAGTATGGGGCAACTTTTTACGGCTGCCACACAGCACTTCACATCTATAAATATCTTGTAAAATAAGTGATCCCTCGGAAGCCTTAAAAACAGCAAATTTACTGAAAATTACAGGCATGGTTTGATTGAGTCTGTGATCATGAAAGCTGTATTTGACGTTGAACATACGTTTTGCTCTATAGTGCACCCAAATTTATGCATTTCTCTGAAGAGGACTCCACTTTTTGGGTAAAATTTATTTGATGAATACTTTGAATAGTATTATTTTTTTAAGACCAGACAATGTTTTTTTTTTGTAATCTCTTTTTAATTCCATTTTAGATGACTGGATGTAAAGCCGAAATGATAGAAAAGAGTATTGTTATCATTTTGACGAGAAGAGAAAACTGCAAGAGACCATAATATGATAAGAAGTTCAGAAACAAGAAAACCATGTTGAACGTATATTTATTTAAGACAATAACTGTGTAAGTTGCAGAAAGAACATAAATTTCGTGGCGATGTTGTCAGTAAAGTTGAAACCTTCGACTTTCATGTTTAAGTAAAACAAGACACTTTAAGCGTGAAGTAAGGTCCTAGGAAGAATCAAAGGCGTAAATGGCCTCCTGACAGCTAAAATACGTTACCACCATTGTTGTAACAGTAACAGTCATTTCAAGACGTTCTTTTTATGAAAAGTGCAAACACACAACTTGTAAATCTAGTGAAAAGACAATCGAAAACAGCAGGAGAAAGCTTTTTAACCACTATGCAATACTTTGAAAGTTATTGAAAGGATAACTTTTTTTTTAATGTGACTAGGTGTAGTCAAACTAATGGCATTATGAGAGATATAGAGATGTGGAGATCACTTAAATATCTTTTTATATAATAAGGAAGAAAACATAAATAGGTTAAACAAGATGTGATGGCATTCAATATCATAGGTGAAATATTTTTTAAAGCAACCTAAATGATACATGACATAAAATTGGCATTTTGAACATATAAAATTCTAGTTTTGAACCATTCCTAAAGACATAACTACAGCTCATTTTCAGCATTTATTCTTCACTAACTTAAGTGTTGTGCAATATAGATAGTTGGACCATCCTGGCAATGATAGATGAAGTTATTTCTACTAAATCATGTTAAAAGTGATAATTTGCATAACATTTATGGGTAATATTTGGATGGATGAGACTTTGGTAACATACAAATATGTTAAATGACACAGCAAAAGACTAAATAACGAGTTACTTTCAGAAATTGAGTATATTACCAGATGCATTGTTTGTTGTAACTAAGTTTGTTGTCTTTATTTTTATAAATTATTCAAAAATAGTTAAAAAATGCTAGAATAATGTCAATGTAATTGATGTAACGTATGTTACATTTTGCTTAAGTGATTATGTTTCTCCATTATTTATATAAGCTTATGTGATATAAATATTACTTGAACCTCTTTTCAATTGTAAATATTATGTATTTTTAAGATAATGCAATTTGAACGTTTTGCATTATTATTATGAGTGGGTGGGGTAATAATCTTGTGTGTCACAAGTGAATAAAATAATAAAAAAGAGGCCAAACCTGTTATGATTCATTGCAAATTCTATTTTTATGAACAACAATACATGCTGGCTAAAAAACTACCAATCTATAACAGAGAAAGACAAGACAGTCGCCACATATTAAACATATTACGATATTATATATTACGATTTTTATGCCTGGACAGGTACTCGTTAACTACTTGCCAAAGTCAAGTTTCCGAAGGTATATTCTTTTAGGGTTTTACTACAAGGTCCATGCATATAATTATATTGATTGCAAAATACTAAAGAAAGCTTGTGTTGCAATTTGTTTGATGTCAAGCTACATATACTCATAACTTTAGTGGCCTATTTGCAAATAATTATTTCTGTTATATGAGGTCAGGCATTGCTTTCTTGACCCCCAAATTTCAATGTCAACATTCATTCTTGAAATAGACATTAAAAACTTACCATTTACGGAGGTTGAAATAAATTTATTTACTTAATTATAGAAGAAACATGCATTTATTGTTGATAAAAAAGTGACTGACAACCACTGAACAAAGAAAATTCTAAATCAAGCATTTTCGGGGCCAACCGGGTTTGGTGGTTGTCCGGTTTTGGTGGTCCCCAACCAGTAGATATTTTTTTTTTTTTTTTTTTTTTTTTTTTTTGGAAAAATTTGCGATAGATAGTAGATCTACAGGTCATTAATAAATTTCAAACACATCAAGTTTTTTTCCACCGTAAATGGTAAAATAATGGTAGAAAAAATGGAACAAGAGCTGTCCGTAAGACAGCGCGCTCGACTTTTTTTATTGCTTGCCAATAAAAAAAGTTTTTGCAGTAAAAGGCAATACAAGAATCTCTGTATTTTTAAAGTGAACTAGTTGTTTGATACCCTTGAATATTACAGCAATGTTTATATGACATAATTTATGGTAAAGTGAACAAGTGGATAGGAATGAATTTTTTTAGATTTTTTAAGTTTTTTAGTGCTTGCCTATAATACAAAACATTGACAGTTAAGGGCCATAATTCAAATAAAATCTTTGACAGAATTACCTTCTCCTGGACATGTTTGGGAATCATGATTGTAAACAAGTATTCCAACTTTCAAATTAATATCTCAAACAGTTCAGTCAAAAAGTGGACTGGTACTAAAAACTTAACCAAGATTCTAAGTCGATAAAAGGCCTTAATTTTTAAAACAAATCCTTGACAGAGTTACCTTCTCTTGCGTACAGATGGGGGTAATGATGTGAAATAGCATTAAAAGTTTCAAAGCAATATTCTCAAAGGGTTAAGGCAATAAGTGGATTTTACCCATATTCAATGTATTTTCTAAGTCAAAAAGGGGCATAATTCTGTCAAAAACCTTGACAGAGTTATGTCCTCTTGTCTGTTGATGAAGGTGTGATGGTAAACAAGTATGGTCAGTTTCAAAGCAATACCTCCAATGGTTTTGAAATAAAGTGAGGTGGTACAAAAAACTTAACCAAGCTCAATACACTTTCTAAGTCAAAAAAGGGCCATAATTCTGTCAAAAACCTTGACAGAGTTATGTACTCTTGTCTGTAGATGGAGGTTATGATGGTGAACAAGTATGGTAAGTTTCAAAGCCATACTTGTAATACTTCTGAAATAAAGTGGGGTGGTACGAAAAACTTAACCAAGGTGTGACGCCGACGCCGACGCCGGGGCGAGTAGGATAGCTCCCCTTTTCATAGAAAAGTCGAGCTAAAAAACACATAATAGTGATATGTACTTTTAACTTCATTTGGGTGCTAAATCGTAACGTACCGGAAAACGGTACCGGAAAACGGTGTTTAGCTAGGTTTTCGAAAGGTCAATTATGAGACCTAAAATATCAAACAAATTGGTTCAAAAAGCAGCAATACAATACTTCACAGACAAATGTTATCAAAAGACAATAAAATAGACAACAAATCTGTATTACAAACCTTTTTGCCAATATTTAAGACTAAAAAACTCTTCTTCCCAACAATCGTTACAAATGGTGCAAATTTTCAAAGGGAGTCAATCATGTCTAAACTAAATATGATTCATACATAACCGATTCGTACCGAAACCACCAAAACGGCATCAACAGAGACTATAAAGTTATGGAAGACAGGAATGAGAGTGGTTTCGTCGAACTACCGGTTAGGCAAACTAATCTTATATATTACACATTAAGTAAAACCTGTAAAATATGAAAACATTTTTTATTAATTTATTATGTCAAACTATACAAATGGTAAATGCTAAAAAAAGAAGAAACAATGTTATTAATCGGAATAAAATCGACATATTATATACAAAGAAAAATAAAATCTGTATGGGAAAGAATTAACTTTGTTTTCTATAATCAAAATATATATACAAAGTGATTTTGTACACGTAATTAATAACTCATCTTTTTAAAAACTTTATTCATCTCTACATGTATATAAACAATTGACACATGTATAGTATTGTAAGAGGATACACCATGATTTTTACGTAATAAACAACAATAATCTCTCTTTATTCTTTATTCATCACTCTATATAAAACTTTAAAAAAGTCCTCATAGATCTCGTAGTTAAATTGTGACTACATAATTTCAGTAGTTGGGAAGTAGTCATCTCATCATCTTCCCCAGCAAACACCCGACGTTGACTCAACGTTGGATCAACGTTGAAAATTGGTCGCGACGTCGGCGACCTTCACACAACGTCAAACCAACGTTGAAACCCCGACGTCTAACAATCGTTTCATTTTGACGTCGACCCGACGTCGGATTTTGGTCGGTAATCTGACAATTGGTAAATTTAATTTATAAAACCAATATATATAAATATAAGCATAAACAGTGAGAATTTTAAGTTTCTTTAGAAAGGGAAAATTATAAATTTATTTGCCTAATCAAAACAACAACAGTGTCACGTGGGTGGCTACCGTTCGATATTCGATAGGTGGCGCTCGGTAAACGGATAGCCGCAGATCAGTATAATATATATTTGCTCTATTTTCTTTTTAATAATAACTTATCTCCTCGAATTAGTGAAAGAAGATTGTTAAATAATTAACAATGAAGTTGTAATTATTTTTGTGGGCTTCATTTAATAGTGGTAAATAATCTAGTAAATTCGAATTGGAGTCTTATCGGATTTGAAATTCAATTGTATTGGCGGACAAAAACGACGGGTTGACAGACAAAGTTGTATATTCCAAACAAATAGAAAAAGGTAGGCAAACTTTATACATTGTTTTTAATGCTTATTTACCGCATGTTTGCATGGATTCGACGGTTAATTGATCATTGTAAAGTTTGACTGGTAAAACTTAAATTCACATGATTTCGCGAGATAAATATTTTCGTTTCCTCGTTAGACCACTTTATTATTTGCTTTAGAACAATTTGTGTTATCGGATCATTTTTCCCACACTAAATCGCCATTGCTAAATTTTTTTTGCATAATCAATGGTAATGGTAAAATATACTAGCAATTGAAATCAATAAAAGGTTTAATGCAGTACGTTAGACTCTATTATTCAAATGCTGGCATATAAAATTTCCTCTTATTTCTTATCAACATGAATTTTTTTATGAGGGGCCAGTCATTTACACATGTATCAGATAACTGTAGGGTCTCACGCACAGTTTGATTTTGATGTCTGTGTAGTTGTGTAACTATAGGTTGTTAAATTGAATAATTTTACCCATGAGCATACTTAGTGTTTCTTATATTATGATTATGATTCATGGCATTTTATCCATGTAAATGATACAAATGATACAACTTTGGTAAGATATATCTGAAACCACATTGTTTTCGACTACTTATCTTTTCATTAATGTAATAAGACAACATATTATCAGTCAGTAAACACATTATCAAGGTTATAAATCAATAAAAGTAATAGTTTGTTAATTAGCCTGCTTATCAAATATAGTGAAACAAGTTATATGCTCATATCATAAAACGTTTGTACCCTCAGCCAGTCTGTCCTTTATACTCTTAGCAGATCGGATCATGCTGGGCAGAGATATTATATCTATAAAAATGACAGTAACATGTGAATTTCTTTGATGTTGTAGCATTTATATAAATTATAATAAATATAAAAAATATCAGTTTCATATTAAATTTTGCGCAGGCAAAAATCGTAATTTCTTACTAAATTTTCAGGTCATACTTAATGAAAATTAAATGTAATTAATTGAAGATTTTATCAGTTTTTTTTTCGTAAACGTGCTTTGATAATCGTAATATTGTTTTGTCTTTCAGTGAATATCAGAGATTGTGAAAATTATGATAAATTCAACAACTGTCGAATGTTCAGAGGAGGAAGATAAAATTATTAAGAGGAAATGAAGAAGAAAAAACACAAGATTTTGTGACAGGTATATTAAAAATATTACATTGATCACGAAGCCATTTTTATCAAAATCAATGGATATATAGGTACATGAAACTACATGGTTAAAACTAAAGTAAATAAAAAATAAGCCTCTTTTGTTAAAGTAGTTGGAGAGTTTTGTCAGAATTTCATTTATTTGTAATATGTAAAAGTGATTTATTTCTTGCAATTGTAAGTGATTATTTGATTTATTTTTAAATTTCAGATAGTGTGAATGTTGGAGACGGTAGAGGTTCAGATTATGATATGCTTAAACTTTAAAGTATGCCCCAGATCGCCATAGTGGAGGTGAAAGAAGAATGCTGATTAAGATATATGAACATTGATTTGTAGTAATATCAAATTATTCACAATATTGTTCCATTTAACATTCAGAACAAAAAGTACAAAGAAAAATATACAATCAGTGAGTTGGATAGATGATTGGAAAATCCCAACCTCAGGGTGATCGGTTCAGTCGGAAATAAGCCTTGGTGATAAAAGAAAAACATGCATGAATGTTAACCATAAAAAATGTCAGTGTTAATGTTTATGAAGAATTTTGTATATCTAAAACATGATTATTTAATACATGAAGCGTTATTTACGTACATACTGTCAAGTTTAATAGTTCAAAATACATTATGTTAATGTTACATTTGTTATAGTACCACATTTATTGTTTTGTACATGTGATTCGTATTGCAAATAAATTGTTAAAATTATAAGAATGCTTATTTGTTTACCCTACTAATGAGCTTAAAATGAAAAAATCATATTCCAAAAAGTTTGAAATGAGGTTAAATCATGGTCAGATAAGGTTGGATTATGGTCAGATAATGGTCAGAAAAGGTTGGATTATGGTCAGATAATGGTCAGAAAAGGTTGGATTATGGTCAGATAATGGTCAGAAAAGGTTGGATTATGGTCAGATAAGGTTGGATAAGGGTCATTTTATGACGTTGTATAGACGTCGGATTCTGACGTCTAAAAAACTTTCAAATCCAACCTTCTGCCAACGTTTATCCAACGTCAGGGTCTAACGTCAGTACAACGTTGGTACAACGTCTTTTGTTTGCTGGGTCGTACTTGTCCCAGGCTTAGAATAAGGCTTCATGGACTTTCTTCATATCTTTTAAGATTAAGTCTTGTCAAGAGATTCTGAGAAAAGAAACGAATTTGAAGATCCACAAGCTGGGCCTCCCTTTTCAGTAAAGGTAGTAACATGTATAATCCCATGCAAGTCCGCACGTCCTGCGGGTGTTGATCCTTCTGTGTCATCCTGTAATGATTACTGTTGGAACAAATGTAAAATTTTAAAGTTGATTTAGTAAACCTATGTACAACGTCACTAATTTCAAAAATAAATCCCTGTTTAAATTGATTTCCCTTGTATAATGTGAAAAAGAAAACATCAATACACTCCAGTGAATTGGATGCCACGAACTACCGTAACGTTGATCCATGTCCTCTCCACACAGCCAATATTGGTCAAGCAACCTCCATAGCGTGGTCCAGCAGCTGTCGGAAGACAGGCGGGATTTTCTCACTGGGAAGAAAAGGCAAGGACATCACCTTTTCATATTTAATCATATTAAATATATATTGTTTCATATTTAATCCTACATTAAATATATATTGCACCTTGATTGTTAGGCTACGCCTACTTAGTGTACTGACCAATTAATTGACTTCATATTGTTAGACAGTCTTAGAAATAAACTCATATAATATCAACACCTCGTAATCCCTGCATCTACACCAAATAAACAAACATAAAACAGAGATATTCATGTATGTCATGCTATCTTGATATTACATGGCAATATCTTATGCCTGGATCGTCCAATACAGTCTCTGGTTCCAGTGGGAGACACAATTACACGAAGCATATCCATATCGGTACCCTCTTTGCAAAATCTGCTGAAACGGTACCCTCTTTGCACATGCACAGGTAGCCTGGGTTCCAGTCTGGCGATTTTTTATGTGCTTCTGTTTGTATAGGCATGTTCATGAACGGTAGTATTAAGAACAAGCTTCCGTACTAGCACCCTTAAAAAAAACAAAAAACAAACAAAATAAACAAACAAATAAAAAAATAGAATAAGGATCAACAAGGCATGGAAACGTTCACAGAACGCAGTCCCCAGAACAATCAAGTCTCCCAAAAGGCACCGGTTGATACTATCAAAACCAGAGATAATGTGTTATCTATGACGATCGAATATGATGCGCGTATGTTATGAATTAGCAAAAAATATCAACGCCTGAATCCCAGGCTAATGCACAGGCCACTCTGCTAAAAACACTTTAACCAGCGATGGATAACACGACATATGCTTTTATTTGCGTTAATCGTTAGGAATGTAATATTTCTTTATTTATGTTAATATTACGTACAAGTTTAACGATTAACGCAGATAAAAGCATATGTCGTGCATTGAGTATACCTATGTGTTAAAAAATGAGAGGGTACCTGTGATATAAAAATTCAAATGAAGAGAGGTAGCCCGTGCCGCTGCAAAACTGAAAGTAGGGTGTTTTTTTATGAATTTTACCATTATTTTTGACAATGTACTGCATTTTGTCCGGAGATGATATGTAAATGAACCTGGAACATACATCCCAGAATGAACATAATTATTAGATATGTATGATGAATGTATAACCAAGCCACAGGTTCATTTCAGCCCGAAAAGTATGTCGAGGTGATGAGCGATGCAAGACATGTTGATTTTTTGTAGGTTATTGTGAAGTTGCAGTTCATGAAAAACGGGCACATGACAAATCAGCACATAGATAAAACATTCTAGTGTTCCGTTGTATACATCTTTTCCACGTGTCATACCTCCTTTCCTTATTACAATGAATTTTTACTGGCTTGTTATCCATCGCTGGTTTGTTTTGAG